AAGGAGTACCACAGTGGATATCAAAAGATTGGATTCTGCTAGTTCCCAAATACAATGGTTTAGGCAGATCACTTCATTTCTGTGACCCTCAGAAAACAGGAAAACAAATTATGACTACAGATGACCCCCAGCTTACATATGTTCTACTTAATAACTTTTTCAATTTTATAATGTTGTGAAAGTGATAAGCATTTAGTAAAAACCATACTTTAAATATTGACCTTTTCCTGGGCTAGTGATATGCAATATAATACTCTCTGGAGATGCTGGGCAGCAGCAGCCAGCAAGACTCCCAGTCGGCACCAGATCAAAGAGGGTTGCTGGGGTATACTATACTCTACAGGATACTGTGTTGCCAGCATTATTTGGATACTGTGTTTTGTTTTCCCACCACAGCATGTCTACAATAGGCCCATCTGTATCTCTTGTTTCTGCCAAGAAAAGGAAAGCAATTAATTACTGGTGAGATGAAACTACATCAGCCCAACTATAAGCTAATGTATGTGTTCTCAGCATGTTTACTAGGCTAGGCTATGATAGTCCTTGGGTAGGTCAGGTCTATCCAGTGCATTTTCAACTTATGATATTTTCACCTTACGGTGGGTTTATCAGTATGTAGCCTCTGTAGATAATCTATATGACTCTACTTTCTATCATTCTATACATAATTAGCATTTCATTTTAACAATTTAATTTTTTTAGATCACCTTTAAGTAAAAATATTAGCAGCACACAAGGAAGAATTAAACTGAGGAATTCCACAGAAATTCTTACAGAGGTTTGTATAGTCTCATCCTCAAATGCAGAGGACTCAGGGGAAAAAAGAAAGTATGCTCTATCTGAAGACTATCCAAGCAATATAGTAATTTTGACCACACTAACTCCTGGGGCAGAAAAAAATGGTAGTAAAACGGTAAAAATACTCAAGGAAAACCACTACCACAATAATACCAAAATAAAATACAAATGCTCTACACAGCTACTGCTACATACCAGAAGCTTTTCATAGGTTTCCAATACTCCTTATAAGTCCTGACAGAAAAAGAAACAAACAAAATGTTTTATTAACCATATATCTAAATGTACTTTTTTTGGCACCCTTAAGCTTGAAAAGTACAAAACATCAGGCAATCTACAGTTATTTGTACATATATTAATTAATCTGCTCAACTTTATAGAACACCTTTATAGCATTTAGTAATGTGCCCTCAAGAACATAAAAGGCACTTAACACTGGTTTGCACAAGGCAGCGAACTATACATCAATCTCTAATCAACAAATAATAGATCATGATCAACGTTTACTATCTTTTGTGCCATATTCTAGTAAAATCCAAATCTGAAGTAAAAGAACAGCTGGAAGTAACTAAATATGGAGACTTCTAGCATTTCCAGGCATCAGTAAGATTTTGAAACTGCAATTAAGACATCACAAAATACAATTAAAACTGAGTAACAAAACATACACACACAAAAACCAAGTAACAAACAGCTTGAAATTTACCTACATTGGAGATTTTTTAACCAGTGTGCTGCAAGAATTTTTAAAACACGAACTACCTGCCCTGACTGGTGTGGCTCAGTGGGTTCCCATTAGGGCACACACCTGGGTTATGGGCCCGATCCCTGGTTGGGGGCATGTGAGAGGCAAGCAATCTGTTTCTCTTGCACATCAGTATTCCCCTCCCTCTCTTTTTCCCTCTCTTCCCCCTTCTAAAAATAAATGAATAGTTTTTCAAAAAAAAATTTTAAAAACAGGGGCACCAACCTCTTTCCCCTTAGATTGTCAAATAAAAAAATAACAGCTAACAACAATAGCCATCCAGTGTGACTGAATCAAAATTATATATACTTTTTGTCAGATTTGAGAAAAATATATTCTTTGGTGTGCAGCCAAATTTCAGTAATTAGTTTATATGTACCAGAAGATGAAAAAGATCGAAAATCACTGACCTACATCAATCCCTGGCCTATTCAAAGGCCTTTGCTTTCAACTGCAGATAACAATGGCAAGAAAATCCCACCCTTTAAAAAGCTTTAAATACTTTAAATTTGCCTAGTCTTGGAACAAGCTTTTAAATAATTAAATTTAAATTTAAAAGAACAATTAAATTTTTAAAAATAAGGTAATTTCAACCATTTTGTGCTTTTTTAAAAAAAATTAAGTGGGCAGGCCAAATACTTAAATTTTAATATATGATTAAATTCGACAAGCCATGCAGTTAAAAATACATATTCCTCAGAGGCCATGGAGAGTATCACAGCTATATATCAACAGGTATGTCACAGCTGAGACAAGTATATTTGGATAAGTTGTAATGTGAAATACATTTTTCCACCTAGAATACGTTTATTTGTTCAATAAATATTTGCAGTGTGAATATTCTACACAGTGCCTTAAAGATAAAATTAGAAAAAGATATATCCTGCCCTCAAGAGGAGATAAAACATGTACGTAAAAACCTAAACACAGAGTAGAATGTGTAAATGTTATGAGATGTGCAAATAATTTTACAAGTGCAGAGGAAACTGTTACTACCTCACAGGAGTACAAACCTTTTAATCTGTTTAAGTAATTTCATAATTATTAACTTTCTTAGGAACCTTAGGGGAGCAGATGTTTTTCTACTATTATAGGTGAGGAAACTGAAGCACAGAAAGATTGATCATATTCCAAAATGCCACAATGTTCATTAAAGAAAGAACCAGGACTCCGTTTTACATTTTCTCTGGGGTAGTAGTTCAACATAGGGCAAGCCTTTTGTAAAAAGAAATAGTATTTTATTTTTGTATTGCAGCTAATCACACCCTTATGTATGTTATGTGCATATTTATATGCATGTGTTAACCTTGATTTCCATTAACAGGTGTGCTAAAAGCAAGGGAAGGCAACTGTAAATATTAAATGAACAAATAAACTTTCACTGCGTTTTAACAAAATAAGAAAATAAAGACAATATTTCTTTTTCCAACAACTTGTGGTTACTTCTTCTGTAATTATTACCCATTTAAACATAAGTTTCTAGGCCCTGGCTGGTGTAGCTCGGTAGATTGAGCGCTGGCCTGCAAACCAAAGCATCACTGGTTTGATCCCCAGTCAAGGAACACGTCTGGATTGCAGGCCATATCCCCAGTATGGGGTGTGGTAGAGGCAACCACACATTGATGTTTTACTCCCTCTCTTTCTCCCTCCCTTCCCCATCTCTCTAAAATAAATAAATAAAATCTTTTAAACATAAGTTTCTAAAATTTGTGTGCTCCTGAGCCCAGGCAAACTGGTTCATCCAATAAATATCTTTATGAAAAGGTACATGAAAACATTTTCAAAAAGCCATTAAAAATTAAATAATGTCATCACTCTTCAGTTATCTAAGGGACAATCACAAGTGACCCCTCAGCAACACCCATCGATCAAGACATATTCAACTAACAAATGAATATTTGTTGACATTTTAAAATCCCGGGCCTGTTGCTCTTTGCACAGTGTTCCGCATCCCATCATTACCTCACCAGCGTGCACACACGGAATGTAAATTTCAGTATTATTAGGATATGATTAGTGACGCAAATATGATGCATGTGAATATACTAATCCCAAAGATTGGAATTACCCATACCACACTATCTCCAAGATTAACCCTACTGAAGCAGCACTGTGGCACACAACATCAGTAAAGAAAACCGACACTGATGTTTTAGAAACATGACTTTTTCCCATCCACACCGTTAATACACGACAGGTCCTAATCCAGTTAATGCGAGGAATTCAAATTCAGTTTCCTCTCCATTAAGACTGATTTCTCTATTACACTTTCTCAAATCCCTCTTCCCCCCCCCCAAAAAAAAAAAAAAAAGAATGCAGACTTCGCATATTAAAACACCAACAACAAAAGGCAGAAGGTACAGTTTCGATCCTGGCAATCTTCACCCTTTCGCCATTACACTCCTGAGAGATTTGGTTAGAAAGGCGAACCAGTTCAGTCTTCACTCACTTGTCCATCGTTGTCACCCTCCCTAACCCATTCGACACTCCCAAGACGGCCACCAGCTCCGCCTCAAAGTAAGCCCAGGGGCAGCCCGTGCTGGCCCCGCCCGGGGTCCCCCGGCCCACTCGGTCTCCCTCGGGGAGCCCTCAGCGCTGCGCACGCCCCCTCCACCCAGCACACCTCTCAGCCCGCCTCGGCCCGGCCACAGCCCATTCTTCCGCCAAACTCCATAAGCCTCCACTTGCCCCCCCGAGCTCCCCGGCGCGCACGGCTCGCCCTGGGCGGCCCAGAAGAGACCAGATGGCTGGGGTGGGTCCCAACCTACCAGGCCCGTGATACCCACCACCAGGCAGTGAAGCCGTCCCAGCGGCCAGTGCCCTGAGAGCCCTCGGAAGCTCCCGACACAGCGGGGGCCCGGAGGCCGGGGCCTACTCACCCGGAGCTGTAGGAGTATGGTAACGGCGCTCCCCCGGTTCTGAGGAGCTGGACGAGACCCCGACGTAGGTCCCTACCTCGGGACCTCCTTTGACTCAGTGAGCTGGGCGATCACTCCAATCACCGCCGCAGCCACCGCGGTTGCTGCTGCTGTTTCGCCACCTTGGCCGCCATCTTGACTCAACCCCGCTCCCTCCCTACGCCAGCCCTGGCGGCCGCCTAGGGCAGCTCTGGCGCCGGCCCCTCCTCCTTCCGGAAGGTTGGGGAACCGTCTCCCTCCGCTGGCGTCGCGCGTCTTCTACCACGACCCAGCTTCCTGGGTTGCCCAAGGCCTGGATCTTTATCTCTCATCGGCCTAACCGCGGTGGCGGCCCCCTCAGCCGGAGACACGCCTGGGTAGCACCGTGTCCGACTCGGACCAGCGCACTGCCATCACTCACTGGCTGAGGCACCCACCCCTAGCCTGCCGACTTCTTGCGCTAGGGGCCTTCGTCGGAGCGTGGGAAAGAGAGGAACCCGAGCCAGCCTCTGGCTCTGCGACCCCTGCGCAACGCAGCGGGACGGCGGTGGCCTCTTCCAGCCGCGGGATGCGGGCAGGGAAGCCGGCCTTCACGTGCTAGGAGCGCAAGGGGGTGCACGTCGACCTACCCAAAATATTTCCCTGAGCTCCGGCTGTAATTCGCACTAAAATGTCACTGAAAGGGGGCCGATGCCAATTTGTCTATGATGTCAGTCCTTAATCTCAAAGTCACTCGGAGGAGCCTGTGGCCCTTGAGACGACCAAGTGCGCCGTCAAGTCTAACTTCCAGTGAAATGACTGGATTGTGTAAGGACAAGAGTAGAAAACTTGACAGGAAGGGGTTCGGTTCAGCTCTCAACCCGAGCAGGCACAGACCTCGTAAATGCTACATAAAGTAGAGGGAAATCGATAAAGTGTTGGGAAGTGTCAGTGTAGAACCACACAGGAACCCGACATTTCCTAAGAGCTGGCTAGCTGGGCGAAACCTCAACTCGGAACGCTATTTCTGCACAGTGCAGTTTTCCCGCCCGGAGTCAGGGTAGACAGCACCTTTCCGTATTGCGCAGGCGCAGTGCCACTTCCATGGCATGGAAGCGCTAGCTGTTCTATTCTTGGCTGTGGTGGCCCTAGCACGGATCATGTTCTGGGTTTGGGACTCCTCCGAACGAATGAAGAGTCAGGTGCAGGCTGGCCTGTTAGGAAACGGAAATCGGACCCTCCTGGTGATCGCGCACCCCGACGATGAAGCCATGTTTTTTGCTCCCACTTTGCTAGGCTTGGCCCGCCTGAGGCACCGCGTGTTCCTGCTCTGCTTCTCCGCAGGTAGGAAACTGCAGGCGGGCCGCTGGGACCCGAGGCTGTGAAGGATATTTAAGTGCCAACTTATCTCAGTCTACTTTTTCCGAGAGATTCTCTGTTGTAAAAAGCTAACTGAATAATACTCCGAAGGTCCCTTCTATGGGCGCCACTGAGAATCGGCTCCAACCTAGGATCTGTAGCAGCCAGCTTCCCAGGTTGGTTGGAGGACGTCCTCAGCTTTCTTACTGTACTCTCTGCTAGCAGGATTAAGCACAAGAAAACAGGTCACGTTTGCTTCCATTCAATACCTACATTTCCGTTGGGAAATAAAACTTTACTCATTATTCTATGCAACCTGTTTATTTGCAGGACCAAGAATAATTATCTTACTATAGCATGCCAAACAGTCTAGGTTGTATCATGCCTGCTCAAGCCTGAAAGTTTCACTTGTAGCGGTAGCAAAGGATTTTCCTGATGCTTTTAAAATTAATTTTATCCTAAAAAGATGCACATATCAAGTTAAAGAAATAGATTCAGATCATCAGGCTAAAAAATAACTATAGTTCAGTACCACCCAACTTTCATGTTAGGATGGTCAGTGATGTGGGCTGTGAAAGAATTCACAAAGAGAAGAAAGTGCAGAGAACAAAGCTTTATTTTTACTTTTCGAGGAAAAGGAAAGGTCTGGGTGTGGAGAAATGCACCAGCCCTGATGTGTAGGGGCGTTGAGCTCTTATTGGATCAGAAAAGGGGGAGGAGGCTTTAGCAGGTTAGTCGTGGCTATTAGTTGTAAAGAGGAGGTTTCCAGCTGATGTTGGAGACTTAAGCTTGTTTTGCTGTTCAGGGTCTGGGTTCAGGGTCTGGGCGCTAAGGTCTGATAAGTACTGCTTGTATATGTTTTAAAGCACCTGCACAGGAGATGCTTTCCAGCAACCTCTCCAGTCCTGAGAACAGAGGCTCAGACAAACGGTAGTTAATTATGCCTGACAGACTCAAGGGGAGAGAGGAAGAGCCACCTCTGGTAAAAAGGGCCTGAAAGGGGCTTTTGTTCTTGCATTTCAGTGAAGGGGACTTTCAAAAAATAAGTCCTCCTTTACCATACAGAAAAGATGGAATGAGAAAACAAAATTGGCCATGATACTGGATTATAGTGATAATTGCATAGATGTATAAATGAAGTAATTGAACTCTACCTATAAAATGGGTGGACTTTTATGGTATGTAAAATTTTACCTCAATAAAGCTGTTTTTTAATATATTTTATTTATTATGCCATTATAGTTGTCCTATTCCCCCCTTCATTCCCCTCCACCCTGCACACCCCCTCCACCACCATTCCCCCCTTTAGTTTATGTCCATGTGTCTCAAGTTCTTTAGATTCTATATTTTCCATATTATTCTTGCCCTCCCCCTATCTATTTTCTACCTACCGTCTATGCTAGATATTCTCTGTACCTTCTCCTCCCACTCCCCTGTTGCTAACCCTCCATGTGATCTTCATTTCTATGGTTCCGCTCCTGATCTAGCTGTCCTCTTAGTTTGCTTTTGTTTTAGGTGTGGTTGTAATAACTGTGAGTTTGCTGTCCTTTCACTGTTCATGTTTCTTTAACTTCTTTTTCTTAGATAAGTCCCTTTAACATTTCATATAATAAGGGCTTGGTGATGATGAACTCCTTGAATTTGATCTTATCTGAGAAGCACTTTATCTGTCCTTCCATTCTAAATGAAAGCTTTGCTGGATAGAGCAATGTTGGATGTAGGTCTTTGGATTTCATGACTTGGAATACTTCTTTCCAGCCCCTTCTTGCCTGTAAGGTCTCTTTTGAGAAATCCGCTGACAGTCTGATGGGAGCTCCTTTGTAGGTGACTGTCTCCTTATCTCTTGCTGCTTCTAGGATTCTCTCCTTCATTTTAATCTTGGCTAATGTAATGATGATGTGCCTTGGTGTGTTCCTTCTTGGGTCCAACTTCTTTGGGACTCTCTGAGCTTCCCAGATTTCCTGGAAGTCTATTGCCTTTGCCAGACTGAGGAAGTTCTCCTTTATTATTTGTTCAAATAAGTTTTCCACTGGTGGCTGTTCCTCTTCCCCTTCTGGTACCCCTATAATTCGAATGTTGGAACGTTTAAAGATGTCCTGGAGGTTCCTAAGCCTCTCCTCATTTTTTTGAATTCTTGTTTGTTCCTTCTTTTCTGTTTGGTCACTTTTTTTTCTTCCTTCTGGTCTACTCCCTTGCTTTGAGTCCTTTCTGGTCCACTCCCTTGATTTTGAGTCCCACTCCATTGAGTTTCCTTTCCCTCACTATTGGTTTCTTGTGCATTTCCCTTCATTTCAATTAGTTTAGCCTTCATTTGTTTCTCTAATTTGTGACTAAAATCAACCAGTTCTGTGAGCATCCTGATCACCAGTGTTTTGAACTGTGCATCTGATAGGTTGGCTATTTCTTGGTCGCTTAGAGTTATTGGCTCTGGGGCTTTGAGTTTCTTGAGCCATAATGTTTTGGTCTGTTCGCACCTGTTACATATGAGGAGCGGAGCCTGAGGTGTTCACCAGGGTGGGGCCACCCAGGTTGCTGGGTTGTGGTGCTGTATGTGGGGGCAGGGTCAGAGAGGAACAATGGTGTCCACTCTACTGCTTCCCGCTGCTGGGGCCTGTGAGGTCCGTCTCACTGCTCCCTCCTTCACCTGATTTATCGGTCTGGCTGAGTGGCTCATTGTTGTCGGACTTTCGTATAGTTCGATTTTCTGCGTTTTGGTTGAGTTTTCGTTACTAAAAAAACTTTGTTGTCTTTAAACTTAGTTGTGTGAGGAGGCACAGTGTTTCCACCTACGCCTCCATCTTGGCCAGAAGTTCTCCAATAAAGCTGTTTTTAACAAATGTACATGACCTCTTTTTCCCATTTGGTGGTGTGTCATTCCAGTTTTTTTTCTATACAGGTTTTTATAGAAGTAACATTATAAAGTTTTATGTTTTTCCCTTATTTTTTCATTGATTTAGCAAATATTTATTAAAGATGTATGTACACTACTCTTAGAATGGCTAAAATCTGAGACACTAACAACAACAAATGCTGGTGAGGATGTGGAGCAAAGCAACTCTCTCAACTCTCATTTATTAATGATAGGAGTACAAGATGGTTCAGGCACTCTGGAAGGCAGTTAGTTTGGCCCTGTCATACAAAATCAAACACCAAACCATCTACCCAAACAATTACCCTGCTTTGTATTTCTTTACCCAAAGGAATTGAAAGCAGGTACATGCAAAAACTTGCACACAGGTGTGTATAGCAGCTTACTCATCATTGCTAAAACTTGGAAGCAATTAAGATGTTCTTCAGCAGGTGAGTGGATTAATAATTTAGTACATCCAGGCAATGGAATATTAGTGCTAAAGAGAAGAATAAGCTGTCAAGCTATGAAAAGGAATGGAGGAATCCTACATAACATATTACTAAATGAAAGAAGCCAAACTGAAAAGGCTACATACTGTATGATTCCAACTATGTGGGAAATGCAAAACTATGGAGACAGTAAAAGGATCATTGTTTTCCAGGGATTCAGATGGGATGAAGGATGAATAAATAGGTGGCACACGGAGGACTTTTTATGGTAGTGAAAATATTGTATGATATTTTAATTATGGGTATATGTTATTGTACTTTGTCCAAACCCATATAATCAAGGTACAACACTAGGAGTAAACCCCAATGTAAACTATGGACTTTGGGTAATGATGATTGTAGGTTCATCATTTGTAACAAATGTACAACTCTGAAGAGAAATGTTGATAATGGGGAGGGCTATGTATATGTAGGGATTGGGTATGTGGGAATATCTCTACCTTCCCCTCAGTTTTTGCCACAAACCTAAGATTACTCTTAAAAAATTAAGTTTTAATTAAAAAAATTTCTAATTAAAAATATTTATGCTAGGCATTATTATATGCCAGAGGTGTGAAACTCATTTTAACCGGGGGCCACATCAACCTTGTGGTTGCCTTCAAAGGGCCGAATGTAATTCTAGGACTGTGTAAGTGTAACTACTCCTTAACAGTTAAGTGAGAGCTCATCCAGGCTAGACTGGATAAAACAAGGTGGAGGGCTGGATTCAGCCTGCGGGCCTTGTGTTTGCCACCTGTGTTCTATGTCCTAGAAATAAACAGTGAAGAAAATAAGCTAGAGAAGGACTGTGTCCTTGTGAAACTTAAAACTTAAATAATTACCCATATTGCCCTGGCTGGTGTAGCTCAGTGGATTGAGTGCGGGCCTGCAAACCACATGATCACGGTTCGATTCCCTGTCAGGGCACATGCCTGGGTTGCAGGCCAGTTCCCAGCAGGGGACTCACGAGAGCAACCATACATTGATATTTCTCTCCTTCTCACCTTCCCTTCCCCTCTAAAGATAAATAATTACTTATATTAATAATAACATATGTAGCCTTTTAAATGGTCTTATAAAGGTAAATTTTAATCATCCCTTATTGTATGTATGTTTAGGAGGGTTTTTTCCTAGTTTAGCTATTACGAATAATAGTAAACATTTGTATGTATTGCATAGTATTCATTAGGAATGACTCCTAATTTGGCTGTTTTAAGGCTTTTCATGTAAATTGCATTTTCCATAACATACCAGTTTACTCTCTCACTGACTAGTAGTGAGAATCTGTCTTAATATAGTACCCTGCCTAGCATTGACTGATGTTTTTAATAGTAGTTCTTGATTTGATTAACACTTACTTCCCCTCAAATCTTTTGCTGCCAGTAAGATTAAATTATTTTTCATATTTATTGAGAATTTGGGTCTAAGTACTTTTCTTCTCAGTTTGTGCTATTAAGGATGTCAATTGCAAATAAATTCACTTAAAGGCCTCACTTTTGTTTGCTTTTAATTTTATGTTCTATACTACAATTTATAATATAGGAGTCAAATTATAAGTTAATTTGTTTCAAGATCTGCAAGAGAAGTCTGGATTTTATTTACAAAGTATTATAGGTACACTGGATTCTTTTATTTTATTTTTTTAC